TTTTTTTTTTTTTTTTTTTTTTTTCTGGCTAGTTTGTTCAGGATATATAACTTATTCTAAAATCTTCTATCCAGGAGGAGGAGGCAATAAAAAGAATAGAAACTTTAAAGCTAGAGAGGCAAAAGAGAATTGCAGCAAGGGGTAACAACAGCAATACTGCTGCTCAGTCATCATTGCCCTCTCAACAAACTAGAAAGCTCCTGCCAACAAAAATGTCACCGAGCTCTCAGAAAGGGTCAAAATTTAGTGATTCAGATCCAGGACCATCATCTCCTCTGCAAAGGTTCTCCATCAGAACGGCTTCAAATGGTTCCAATGATTCCAACAGTGCTGCAAAACCCAGCAGATTGAATGGTATAAATCACTCAGCTGGAAACCGGTTAAGTCAATCTGTACCTTCATTAAATAAACTAAAGAAAGAGAACAGTGAGGCTACACATGATAAAAAAGTATCCATGGCTCGAATTAGAAGATTATCAGAGCCAAAAATGAGTATCAGCAATCATTCTTCTTCTTTCAAGACGCGGAGCACTGAGCCAGCTTTGAAGGCAAAACTAACAAATGAGACTGAGAGCAAAAAGAAGATATTTAATGAGACTGACAGCAAAAAGAAGGTATCTAATGAGACTGATAGCAAAAGGAAGATATCTAATGAGACTGACAGCAAAAAGAAGGTATCTTATGAGACTGATAGCAAAAAGAAGATATCTGCTATAATGAATTTGGATAAGAGCAAGGCTGCAACTCTTCCGGAACTTAAAATTAGAACGCCCAAGGGACCTGGTGCTACAATTGGCAACTCATTAGCAAAAGAAATGACGCAGAGCGTTAATTGTTCTTCAGTTTCTGATGTTGCTTGTGCTTCCATGGAAAAAATCACTGCCAAAGTCTCACATCATAATGAACTGGATGACAACCCTGTTGTTGAGAAGACTGTTGTAATGCTTGAATGTGAGAAGCCCTCCATCCGTACAGGTCCTGCTTCTCAAGACAATCTTTGCGACCGAAGGACATATAGCAAGCACAAAATGGAGGGAAAAACTGATATCCCATCAGAATATTCTGCCACCAATGCTCTTAATCCCCAAATTAAAGTGTCCGGTGTTAATAGAGAACCCATCAAGCGCCAATCACAGGGTCAGTTGAGTTCTCGTGAGGTATGATTGACTGCTTCCTCAGATGTGGAAAGTTTTTCAGTGAATTCTTTGAACAGTGCGATGCTTACAGAACAAGTTGAACCCTAGATAGTCTTACATATAAGCTCCTTTGTTCAGGTGACGGTGAATGGTGCAGATCAGGAAGCACAAAACTTCTCATCTCCTACTACGACCGAAAAATTGTATAAAGCTCCACATGCTCGAGTTTCGTCTTTTGAAGATCCTTCCACACGCATTTCGGAGCATGGAAAAGCAACCCCATCAAATTTGGAGAGTGCAGCATCAGGCACTGAAACGGCTAAAGCTTATGTTCCTGATCATGGAAACGCACTATTGGAAAAGATTCCTGAAGCATTAGAGAAACCCGAGGCAAAAAAATCATCTAAAGGACTTAGATTGTTTCTGAAGTTTGGAAGAAAGAATCAAAGCCCAGCTATAGATGAGCATAATGATGAATCAGATAATACCAGCGCAACTGGTTCCGAAGCCAATGATGTTGGGACAAATACCACTCCGCACAATGAAGGTAAAATTATATTAGTTGCTTGATACTTGCTGAGCAGATGACGAAAATGCCTATATTTCTAGTAACAATCTGATACACTAATCTGAGAGTTCAAAGATGATGCTACAAAAGTGATTCTACTATCTAATTAAGCACTTTAGATATAACAATATTTCATCTTGAATTGAAACTCATTTAGTTGAGTCACATGTACATTTTTCATATTAATATGGAGAACTGAACGACACATCAGAAGTCGTATATCGCTTTAACTAACTACTATGGCGCGGTTTCTGTTCTCTTAGACTTTTAATTATCATGTTGGATGATGGAAAGTTCATGTTTGACAAAAATATGACAATGATGTTTCCATGTGTTTGTTTCTGTTGATCTTGCTTTGTGAGCTTACTATGTAACTTTGAAACAAATATATCTTTGACCCCTTTGTTTTGCCAGCAGTTCCTACATTGAAAAATCTGATTTCTCAAGACGAAACCCCCACTGCCAGCAAAACTCAGAAGTGTAAGCATTGCCAATGATTTGATATGTTTCTATTTTTCCCTATTGTCTTCATCTTGTAAGATCATTATGGTCTCAAATTCAAATGTATTTTTTTGTTCTTGCTACAGCTTCTCGTGCATTTTCCCTGCTATCACCTTTCCGAAGCAAGAACAGTGAAAAGAGAACTGCATAACACGACACAATTTTGTGGTGCTCTTAAATATGTGAAGTTGAGGAACCATAAAGTTCAAGCTTGTCTTTTGCGCAGCGCAAGCCTTGATTGGGTTGTGAAGAATACAACGGTTTGTTTTTTGTTCTTTTATAAAATATTTTCAGTAGCGTTATCTTAAGCATGGTCCTTGTATATTTTACATATTTTTCCAGTGATGAATTTCCATGTAGTGTCCATTATGGCTTATTAAATGAAAAACCAGTTTCAAATTACGCAAAATTTGATCTACTGTTTAGCTGGTTGCAGCCATGACCACAAACTGGAAAAAAAAAAAAAAAAAAAAAAAAAAAAAAACTGGATCGTATACTACTCAAGGAATGGAAGAACACAATGTTTCCTTTATTGTCTAAATGATTGTAGGAGAATAGAGACTGGAGGCGAGGTCATTCTCGAATGTGCTCGTTCGAACACTGAGCCGAGGGACAGGCATCAAGTCTGAAATAGGTACTTCTGTCATGAATATGATAATTAATCATCAATTCGTCATCATACTTACTAGCTGTTACTAATCCTCCACTTGTTAGAGTGGATTGTCATCATACTTACTAGCTGTTACTAATCCTCCACTTGTTAGAGTGGATTGTCATCATACTTACTAGCTGTTACTATTCCTCCACTTGTTAGAGTGGATTATCCTCACTGCTGCCCTAAGATATATCCCTCTTAGAGTGGATTCCATACATGAGAATATCCGTTCTAAAGTAGATTTTATAGAATAGCTCTATTTTATAGAATAGCATTATGTTTCATAACGGGTACCTTTGCATATATTTCTTTGATAACCAAATATCTTGATCGAGAATATATATTTTAACCAATTGAATTACATTTTATTCTTTTATTTCATGCATATATACATCATTTCATGCTATAAGTGATTATTTATAAATCTTTTGTTTAGATTGACTAACTTAGATTATGGGCGAGATTACGTTAAACATACCCAACTAGTGAGGTTGCCCTTCCTAAGGATAGTTGACTCTGACCGATAAGGTTGACTTTTGAAACAGATGGAAGAGAGAAAGTAGATAATTTTAAATTATATGACACAGCCTTTCTTTGACTTATTGAACAAGCCTTAACTTTTAACAATAAATTTAGAAACAAGATTAAAAGAATATATATGTGAAGAAAAATTTAAGGAATAAGATGTCCAAAATTTATTACAGGAAAAACCAAATGGTATGGCTCATATTTACAGCATAGCAATTATGACCCAAAGTGTAAACAGATTAGGGAGAGAATAGATAAGAAGAGAAAGAAAAAGGAAAGACTAAATTTAGTCGAAACGAATGACCAAACAAGAAATGTTAGTTTTGCTCATTCTGGTGAAGGCCTCCTTCGCCAAACACTCTGCTGCTTCTTGTGGGTCTTCTATGTGTCTTATCAGATTCACAGCCTCCTGATTCTTCATTACCTGAATTTCCTTTTCAAATATTAATCACAGATATCATTCTTTTAAAAAAGTTACACTTGGACATGCAAGACTGAGCCTAGCTTCCTCTCTTGCATACCATTACCCCTTAAATGTCCACTTCACGAAGAAATTTCTAACAAAAGGATCGGCCTGATTGATCACCAAACATAAAAAGCAGAGACCGAAAGGAATATCCAAGTGACCTATGCATTGAAATGTCTCCAACCAAAAAAAATCCAACAAAATCTTATCGAAGTCAAAAAAAGATAAAAAAAAAAAAAAAAGATTTCAAACTTTCCACTTGCTATGGATGTGAAATCTTAAACCTTATCTTTGAAAAAGGAAGAAGCTTATGTCAGTGGTCGTTCCATTACAAAAGTTATGAAAAGAAATTAGACTAAACTCAAACGGGATAGAAAACGATATAGATATCAAAATAATCGAGTTCATTTGGTTTGAAATTTTAAATTCTCTTTAAAAACCATAGTTGAAGCAAGCTCTTTGACAATGAACATAAATGCAGTAAACTTGAAGATATGTATATATTATATATGCACTCATAAAAGCAATGTTGTTCAGATATGATGTTGCTTCCAGAACTGGGTTTCAATACATTTGACCAAGATCTGTTCATGCGGAAGATGTAAATGTTCTTGGAGTTCATATCTTACCTCCCATATGCCATTGCTTCCCAATATCACGAATTCCGTTTCCGAGTTGATTCTTTTAGCTGCAACTACAAGTTCGGAGCTTCTCCGAGGCTTCATTCCTGAGAAGAAACTCCCTCGAATTAAAAGCTATACAATAGATGATATTATTCACTTTATACTATAAGAGTGTACTTTTCGACTTCCTCTAAAACGCTTCATGCTAACCAACAAGATATCGTCCCCGCTTGGGTTATCTTCTGGATTTGGTGGCATCTAAGTTCATGTCATTCACATGTTACTTCATCACAGAAGTTTCATTTTAGAGGCTCTAACGGGATTTTTTGGTTGTTTTCTTACATAAGGACATTCGAGCTTGAAAAAACAGAGTCGAGTGAGTAGAGACAGAAGATTACCGAGCATTAATCTACGATGCCAACGTTGATTAGTTGGATCTTGACCACAGCTTATTTGACGAGCCAGACCATTTTCACATACAATGGCTCTATAGTCCCCCATGGTAGCAATCACCAATCTATCTCCATCCATGACCAATGCTGAAGATGATCCCATATTCCATGCCTCCTTCCCTTCCTTTGCTTCTTTCACCTTACTTCTTACACTCACATGTGCTTTCTTCATTGCTTCTCTTCCCTTCCCCTTTACTTGAGACTGCAAATTATACCACATGAAGAATAACAATTTTAAGTACAATATAACCTATAACTTACGAGATAATCAAAGTATTCGAGGAACTTGAGAATCTCAAGTACGTTAACTCAGGACGAAAACCATCTAAACAACTCTCCACCTTCATATTCCCTAATCACATTCCTATAGGTAACAGTCCAAGTCCACTGACAGATATTGTCCGCTTTGGTCCGTTACGTATTGTCGTCAGTCTTACGATTTTAAAATGCGTATACTAGAGAGAGAGGATCTAGCCCTACCGAGATTAGTGCCTCGCACCATCTAATGACCTTCTCTTATACCATTCGTAACAGTTCAAGCCTACAGCTAACATATATTATCCGCTTTTGCCCATTACGTATCGTCGTTAGCCTCACGATTTTAAGACGAAACACGTATGCTAGGCAAAAGTTTCCACACTCTTATAAGAAATGTTTCGTTCCGAGATGTAGGATCTCACACAATCATCCACCAACAAAATTGGTAATTATAGTTTTGGAAACTTCATTTGATCAAGAAAAGTCTTCAAATATGATGCAATATGAACAAAAAACAACCCTTAAAGGGTAATTTATTCTGCAAGAGATTGAAAGATTAAAAGGGTTAAAAGAATGGAGAGAATGTTGAGATTTGACCTGTTTGAAGTTCTTATCAAAGAAATGGGTTTGCATGAACTTGATGACTTTGTCGCCAATTTGAGTATCAAAAACCCCAAAAAACCATAACTCAATCCCATCCATATGCTCTCTCTGCACCACAACGGAGTCGTGCTCCGATTCCTCTTCCCAATTCCTCGAATACGACAGATCGGCCACCATATGATACCCATGGTTCACCGGCGCCATCCACGTCCGATTACACACCGCCGCCGCCGGCCGTCTTTTACTCCTCCTATTCCTCGTCAGAAACCTTCCCAATCTAAGCGCCTACAAAAAGTTACACCATCTTCAAGATTTTGAGATTCCCATTTTACAATCCGCCATTAATACACCTCGATGAAAGAAAGGAACGAAAATGCAATGAAACAGTAGTTTAAGAAAATCCCATCAATCAGATTCTTCAAAACTTTGGGAAATGAGATGATAAAGATGGGTTTACCTTGAGTTTGAGACGAAGATTTTCAAGACCCATTTTCAGAAATCTAAAGAAATGAGACCCCTCGATGAACAGGAGAAAAATCCAGTGAAAATTTTCACATGGGTGTGTGGAGTTTCCCTTGTTTTCAAGGGAAAACGAGAGATTTTTCCTGGATTTATGAGTGAAGGGGTTTGGGTTTTCTTGGGGGAAAGTTGTTTATTTTCTTTTGTAAATAGTGGGGAGTGATTGAAGTGGCGAAGGAGTTGAGGAGTTGAATTGAAAAAAGGGGGAATTTGTAGAAGGAGAAAGAGAAAAATGATTATAATTAGACTCTGAATGAATTGGCAAGATAATTATTAGTTTGAATTTGAATTGTCAATTAAATAAATAAATAAAAAGCAAAAATTTAGTGTGAAGTAACGGTCTGTTTCGTCTTTTTTTGGTATATTTTCAGTTCAGAGTGGCAAAGACTCGACGATTTCCCGTGGAGAAGAAGATGGGAATGCGTAGCAAACAGATGGGTTTTTTCCTAAAAATTTGGTCCTTCAAACTACAATCCTCTTTGTTTCAATGCTTCAGTTTCTTCAATCATTAATAGATTTAATTGTTGGCCTTCAGTTTCATTTTGATACCAATTTAATCCATTTGTTTTCACAATAATATTGACTTCCATCTCTATACTTTTAAAATATAATCATCATTTTTTTTCTCTCTAAATTTTACGTCAAAATTTAGATAGAAATGGTCAAAAGCTTGGACCCAAATAAACATTTTGACATTACAAGAATAAATTAAATTGAACTAGGTTGAAATATGTAAAGAATTAGATTTTGAAATGTTTGAAAATTACATTTAGATTACTCTTCGAAGCTCAAATATGTAAAGAATTAGATTTTGAAATGTTTGAAAATTACATTTAGATTACTCTTCGAAGCTCGTTTTCAAATCTATCACACCAAAAAAAAAAAAAAAAAAAAAAAAAAAAAAAAAAAAAAAAAAAAAAAAAA